TCTCCCCAGAGCTGCTCTCTGTCACCTCATCCCCAGCCTGTGCTGATAACAAGATCCTGCCCCGACCCAGGGACAGGATCTAGCACAAACACTTCAGTCCTTTGCCCAAGTTGTGAGATAACAGGACCTAGCACAAACACTTCAGTCCTTTGCCCAAGCTGTGAGATAGAGAATGATTTACAGATGAAAAAAAAATGTATTACATCTATTTAATACCTCAGTCACTCTGTCTGTACTCAGCAGGACTCCTTCCCCAAACCTCAACCAGGGACATGCAGCTTTAGTGCCACCAACAGGCAAAAATTCAGTCAACAAAGAGCAAAAAATGCTGCCAAGGAAATCACAGGTTTCTAAACCCCCTCTGAGCCCTTCTCCACAAGGAGTCAGCTCCCACTCCCACATCTGCAAGACTCTCCTCCCTCATTTGGCAACACATGAGTGAAATAAAAGAGGAAGTACAGACACACCAAAGCTCTGTCTGGAGCCAGAAGCTGATGCAGCTCAGTTCTGAACAGTTCTCCCCACAAACACCACTTCTATCTGTTCCAAATCCAACAGCAACACTTACAAGACAGAGGGTGTCCTCAGAAGCCTTCCACCACCAGGCTGGTTGGGAAAGACATCCTCTAAGAAGAAATAGATATGCCCAACAGCAATGCCTGGGACACAGAGAAAAGGTAAGGGGTGAGTTTCAGTGCTTCTTGTTTACAGCCTTCAAATGCTTCACTAGGTTTCAGGCAGAAGATCCAAACACACATTGATTCTTTCACAGAAAACATGGTAAGAGAGACAGAAGTTTTGAAAAAAATAAACAGTGAAGCACACTGGTATCAGATAAAAAGCTTCACTTATGCTACAAGACATTAAAACAAGTAAAAATGACAATTATTAAACATATTGATGTCAGGGCTTTATCAGAGCTGGTGAAACCAGTAACAGAAGCTATTTTACTCCAACAGTCTGACACCCAGAATCAGATTATGAACCTGGGCCAAGTCCAAGCAATAAAAAAGGGCAAAGCAGCAGAAGCTCTTTCCAACCTTGTTGCAGTACATGCTACAGGACTTAGCAACCAAGAAAAACCTGCTACAAACACAGCCCCACTCTGCCAGACTGACTTCTGCTGCCTCAGAGGCACGTCGCCCTCGGTTTCCTCCCCGTTTTTAGTGTCATGGAACACCCCAGCAGGCCCAAACCCTTGTGATTTTTCCCCTTCCTTACCCAGCAGATCCACGATGATGGAGTTGCCCAGGAGCAGTGAGAAACCCATCAGTACCCAGGGCAGGAATGGGGCTTGGAAGATGAGGAGCCCAAAGAAGTTCATGCGGACGTAGGGGTTCCTGCGGCTCCACACGTACACCAGCATGATGGTGAAGGCCTGGCCCAGGAACACCAAGTTCACAAACAGGCCAAAAAGCTGTTGAGGGGCAGTTAAAGACTTCACACTGTTGTGAGGGCAAGTGGAAGAATTCATCTGTCAACCTACCTCTAGGTAATCCCTAGCTCTGCTTTTCCAGGGTCAAGTAAACCCAACTTACTGCTGATCGAATTCAACAGCTACAGCAGGATTCTGTGGCATGAATCATCCCTTTATACTATAATTACCATGAAATCATTGAAGCAAAGGTATTTTTCTTAGCCTGGGCACTGTTACACAGCTGAGAAGTCCTCTTTTATCTGCTAACCTCATTGCCAAAATCCTGTAGAGCAGTAAAAGGCCAGAAACATCCCCCCAGCGTTTCACAGAGAGCCCCAAAGCGTTCAGAACAAATCCTGCTCTTCTTGGACAAAATACATCAACACCTAGGGAATAAAAAATAGAACCTCATGGTCTCAGCTCTCTTTAGCTTCACCAAAGAAGTCTGGAATGAAAAAATAAAGGATACAGTCATTAAAAGTCCTCCAAAAAGGAACATGAAGACAAAGTCTGCCGTGCGGCCTCGGAAGGAGCCCTCCTCCAGCATCCGGCAGTAGCGGTACCTGGGTCACAGCTCAGGAAAATCTGACTGCAAACGAGTGGAGAAATCCCAGCAGGAAAGGATTCCACTTACACCCCAGCTCAGCTGTCAATTTTCTCTCCATTCCCCCTCCTCAGCTGGCTCTTCTTGGAGCCTCAGCAGAGCCAGAGCAAAGAGGTGCCTTGGAAGGTTCTCCCGCGCGTCAGAACCAAGCTGAGGGCTCAGCCTGGTGCCACAACGTTTAAACATCCCAAAAAAACCCCCAGCAAAAGTCTTGACAACTGATGGAGATCCCATTGCTGTCCAGCTTGGCACTGCTGAGCTGCCAGGAGCTTCTCAGTGGAGCAGAACTGAACCCCTGCCTCTGCCCCCAGAGCTCCGCTCCCCGAGGGAATCAAACCAACTTGATGAAGGATACAAAAAAATCATGTTAAATAAAAAATTAAAGCCAACAGGTCCAAAGAATAAGTAGTTTGTGATTAACCTCCACACCTGGAAAGAAGACAAATACAAGGACTTGAAACACGACAGCTTATTTTTATTGTCTAAATAGAAAAGCAGCAAGATAACTGTAATCTCCTTTACAGTCAGCAGATCTACAGCCTAGGCTAAGGGCTCTCTGGATTCTTTAGCTTTTCTAGAATATAACTGCAATATCAACAGTCACAGTCAAGTGTAACACTCAACTGGGGCAAGACAAGCACTCACAAACTCAACAGTTTATTTTAAAACCTCCCCCGGTTTAGAAAAACACTTACTTGAAAGTGTTTAAATATTAATTCCGGGTTGAAATACAGCTGGAAGGGTGTGATCAGTTCGAGTTGCTGAAACAGAACAGAACACCGTGGAATCAACACACCCAGAGAAAAGTTATCCGCGCCCAAATCAGTAACCCCGTGTGCCAAAAAGCGCCCGACAGCCCCTGGGGGGGGTCTCCTCAGCCCCTCACGCTGTTAGGGGGGCTCTGGGCTCTGCTCCTCCCCCGGCAGCGCCGCTCTCAGGGAACGCCCGCGGCGCGGAGGGCCCTGAGGGGACAAGGCGCAGCCCGGCGTGGGGGAGGCGTCC